CCCCCCCCCCCCCCATTAGCACTAGGAAAATCCGTTAGACATTGTTCACCCTAAACACAAACCACCCGATCCGGATGGTGTTCTACCCATAGTCCTCGAAATGTGTTCCCGAGCTGGCTTCTATTCTACGTCGTCTTTTCCATCCCTCTACAACTTCTAACGTTTCCAATCCCTTGGGAAAATGCCATGATTTTTTCCACTCCCAAACGCAGCGACGGTTGTGACCCCAACAATGAGAATAATGGGGATATGACAGATCCAAAGGGCTTCTTCTGAAACGGGCTATGGCAATTCTGAGAGAGCAGATTCTGAGACCATAGCTTTGTTGGCTTCGTGAAACACAGCGATCGCTAATCCCTGATGACGAAGGTTAGCTGTTGAACCACCGTAGAATATATTCGCTGGGCCGCATCCACTTGAAGCCTACCTTGGCCTGAGCAACCTGGCAGTATTCAGCCCACAAGCCAACCATAGAACGTTTTTCTTTTTTATAAAGAGTACTGTACCATGATTTGTCTGACACACAGTCTGTCCTTAGACAAGTGTGAAATATAATATCCACTTGAAGCACTTCGACTCTTTCCATACCTGAGTTTGGCAGACGCACTTCTGAAAAGCAACCAGTCGTGAAACGACCGCATGTTGATACACGGGCTTTCGATAACTAGTAGAGCTCTAACGCGTCAACTTGCTATGCGCATACTATTTCCAAGTTGAGGGTTCACGGTTCATTGATTGGACACTCGGGTCGCTTGGGAGAAACGGGGAACCATAGTGGACCAAGAATCCATGAGGAGGCGAGGGAGGTTTGTACGGAGTGACACAGCCAGAGTTATTCCATTTTTTGTTGGATTGCGCATTTTTCATACATGCGCAGAGCGTCAGGGTGATGGTGTTGGTAGTCGGTGACCGATAGAGCCGGTCCCACTCCTTTTGGGTGCTATTACAACAACCCAGGGAATCCAATAGTCTCTGCTTTTTTCGAAGGAATAAACTGTCCTCTTTCAGTAGGCGACACAAAGGAGAGAAGTGAGCTACACTCACTATGAGTTTCGAGGTTGGATCATGAAGGGTTCGTTGTGACTGACTACTGCTCCCGCATAAACGATTGTGAGATAACTCGTGACATGAGAACAACCGCATACATATGTACCACTAGACACAACTGTGAAGTCAATTTAAAGAAATTTAACGGTTGTATATTTTATTCAATAGTGCATTCAGTGATGCTTTAAAATTGCGAGACTTGACACGTGCGTGAGAGAAGCACTTCTCGACACCAGGTTTCGTCCACGTTTAACCTGGTGCAGCTTTGAGCGGAGTGAATGGGCTATTGCTAAAAACTTGACATTAAGCGTATTTGGACAGGAGACGTTTTTCATATACGTACAGCATACTCGGCTTATCAGGTACACGTTCCTTTACATCGCAGTTTGTGCACGGTTTCAGTGACAAAGTGCATGAAATCACCAGTAAAGCGGCTGATGAGAAAACTAGGTCTGAAAAACTGCATGAGGTAAAGATAGGTAAATTACATTTTCTGGACTGAATTTCCAAGTATTCCAACACTTTGACTTCAGGAACTGTAGGATATGGTCTATCATCGAAGACGATGATGCTTTTTTACTTCATGGCAACCCAGTAATTAACAGGTAAATTTGTACGACTGGAGTGTGTGTTATAGATACTGACCAAAAGATTTCGTTTCCCGTATAACTCTTAAATTAATTACTGTGTATCCATCTAGCATTACATCTTCAATAAGTGAACCTAGCGGCGATCAGTGAAATCCGTTTTGCCGTTCTTGGATATTGTAAAGACTTATAGTGAAGAAAACTATTAAGGAAGCGATAACCCTGAAGGGCTGCATGTGGTTGTTTTAGGACAATGCCACAATACCTCCAATTAAACAATTAACAAACGAAGAACTATTTGGCAAACTCACTTCGCATCGTTTCACTGTCCGTTCGGCCTCATCCCGCTGACGAGTAAGCCGGGTAACCACCTCTTCCAATCGTCCACGGGCCTCGCGTAGTCGAGACAATTCAGCATCACCTTTCGCTAACTTTTGTTCCAACTGAGTCAAAGTCGTCGCATCTGAGTCAGTTTTACCAAGTGAAGAGCGGCGGGACGCTACACCGCGTTCCATTTGTTGGCGGCGTTCTCGAACTTGTGCCAGACTTGTCAGCATGCGACCGGAAGAAGGCCGACCACCACCACCGGACATGGCTCCGGAAGTTTCAATAAGTTGGCCCTAATGGTGGAGATACAGTATGTTGTTATGGCGAGCATCACTAAGGGACATTTAGTAGTAGATAAAGTTTGCAATAAATTAGGATGGAAGTTCACACATAATTATGATTAAACGCCGCACCCGAACGGAAGAGGTGACTGTGTACTAGATTACAAATCAACGTTTAGAATGCGTTTCTCTGACTTTTTCAAGACCAGCGAACAGCTGTTAGTAGAGAGAATAGACAGCTGAGATGCAGACATATCCGGACCAGCATCGTAGTGTAATGAGCCTACCGAACACAAAGGACATTGCATCCGGCACATCTGTTGACTATGACTTTTCGCGATGGGATCCCTCTGCATAGGGTGGTCGTTGATAACTTCGGTGCNTTTAAGTCCATAACCGGACTTTATGGAACAAGTGTAGGTCTAAGCCATACACGTTCGACTGTACCAAGTTAGCCCATGTGTGAGACTATCCCCAAATGTCCATCGAAAAATCAGGAAATCGCGATACAAAATAGTGTACTCATCACCATTCAGTTTCTTTTTTTGACGAAGCAAATTTAGATTTTGCACCACCAAGTATGAAATGAAAGGCAATAGATGACTGTTTAGTGCAACTCGCTTTATGCATCTAAGCTATCCTCAGTCTGGTTGAGAACATCTGTGGAGTTGTTCACCACAGTATGGCTGTTGTTTACCGGGATCAGATCTGCGATGCGATAGATTACAGCCGTTTCAAGAGAAGACCAACCTGCATACTTTCATATAGTACTCTCCGACGGAACTGAAGATCGTGACATTGGTGGTGCAGTTCAACGTGGGCAATACTTTATACAGTCACAACTGAACAAAAAATACGCTGTCTTGCGTGTATTATGCAACAGAATTTTATTCCTGTCATCGGTGGTGATTGATTTCTCACAAGGTATACAAAGCTACTAACGAAGTATGGTTGCTTAACATCTAAGACAATCAAATAGACGTACACGAAAAGACAATGGATGACCACAGGCGATAAGTGGACACGAGAGAATATACCGCGAAATTCATGAAAAATGCATGAG